ACAAACATACAGCACAAACACACACACATACTACACAAACACACACACACACACACACACAGACAGCACAAACACACACATACAAGCACACACTACAAAAACACACACACACAAACATACAGCACAAACACACACACATACTACACAAACACACACACACACACACACACAGACAGCACAAACACACACATACAAGCACACACTACAAAAACACACACACAAACATACAGCACAAACACACACACATACTACACAAACACACACACACACACACACACACACACACACACAGACAGCACAAACACACACATACAAGCACACACTACAAAAACACACACACAAACATACAGCACAAACACACACATACTACACAAACACACACAAACATACAGCACAAACACACACACATACTACACAAACACACACACACACACACACACACACACACACACACACAGACAGCACAAACACACACATACAAGCACACACTACAAAAACACACACACAAACATACAGCACAAACACACACATACTACACAAACACACACAAACATACAGCACAAACACACACACATACTACACAAACACACACACAGACAGCACATACAAGCACATAATACACAAACACACACTCACAAACATACAGCACAAACACACACACACAAACACACACTCACAAACATACAGCACAAACACACACACACACACACACACAAACAGACAGCACAAACACAAATACTAGCACTTACTACACACACACAAACAAACACACACACACACAAACACTAAACAAGTAGGAGTTCATTGATGGACCTGCAGATAAAATCAGCGGCACATGTGAAGATTTGACAGTCATCTTTCTAGTAAAGTGAGGGTTAAAAGATGCTTGTGTCGGCCCGTCAACACCTTCACAAGCGAGTACACACACACACACACACATACACACACACAAACACACACACTTTACCAACAAGAGCAGAGCATGCCAAAAATCTCATTCAGTAAAGGCAGTAAATCTGTCTTACCTTCAGCCGCAGGACACAGAGACACTGAGACGCCTGTCACACAAACACACACACACACAAATGCACATGCACAAAAACACTGCACACACATACACACTACACAAACTCACACGCACAAACACATTCTACACAAACTCCCATGCACAAACACACACTGCACAAACACATGCTCAAGCACACACTGAGAAAACAAACTCAAACACACACATCTGCAAACATACAACATAAATAAAGACACACACACACACACACACTAACATGCTCAAACCCAAGACACACATGCAAGCACATAAAACACAAATACACACATGCAAACACATGTGTAAATACATACTACACAAGTAAACACCAACAAATACTGCACAAACACACATGCTCAAGTACACACCACACAAACACACATGCCGAAACACCATCTTCTCAAACACAAATACACACACACACACACACAGTAATTTGGGGACCCTAAACAATTCCATGTAGGGGTCCTAGCATTAAAACTCTTTCTCTATAGATTTTTTTTTTCACTGTAGATTTTTCATTCATTCATTTTCTTGTCGGCTTAGTCCCTTTATTTATCTGGGTACGCCACAGCGGAATGAACCGCCAACTTATCCAGCACGTTTTTACACAGCGGATGCCCTTCCAGCAACAACCCATCTCTGTTAAACATCCACAAACACTCACATACACACACTCGTACACTATGGACCCGGAGGAAACCCACGCCAATGCAGGGAGAACATGCAAACTCCTGCTATCTTCATCAAAATTGAAATATAAACTCATGAAACACTTAGCTTTCAAGTCATATTTTTTCCAGGACATTACATTAATGTTTTCATGTGTTTGTGTAAAACAAATATTGAACACAATACAATTTTTTTCTCATGACTTCATAATGTATAACTATATATATATATATATATATATATATATATATATATATATATATATATATA